GTCGTAGCCGTAGTCGTAGTCGTAGTCGTAGTCGAAGTCGTAGTCGTAGTCGTAGTCGTACTAGTCGTAGTAGTAGTAGTAGTAGTAGTAGTAGTAGTCGTCGTCGTCGTCGTCGTAGTCGTAGTCGCAGTAGTAATCGCTGCTGCTGCTGCTGCTACTGCTACTACTACTACCACCACCACTACCACTAAGCAGGAGCTGCAGCAGCAACAGGACGAGTAGGACTAGACTAGTAGTCGTCGTGGTAGTAGAACTGCTTATGGTGGAAGTGGGGGTGGCGGTGGTGTTCTCATGCTGCTGCTTTCGTTGCTGCGGTATGCTGAGCTTATCTTTTGTGTGTGTACATTGTGTTGCTGTCAGTCCGTCCGTCTATCCAGCTGAATGTCTTCAGCAGTGGATCTTCTATCCAAACCAGTTGCTTAGCCCTGGCGACAGAAGTGCCTGTCCAAGAGTCAGCACCGCACCTGGCTCAGAAGCTGTGCATTTCAGACCGTCAGTTGTTTGACGAAGACGCGGTTCACTGAGGTACTTGTGCATGCTGCAGCTCTTCAAAGTCGGAATCATGCAGCACACGACCCCCAGAATTGTGGAATGTAACATCAGGCTATTCTACCTTGGCCCGAGGACAAAGGTTGGCCGCCCGAAGTTCGACAGCCAAATGATTGAAACAACCGGTACCAGAATCTCTAGGCCCTAGGCCCTAGGCTCTTACAAAGAGCTAGGGCCGTCGATTTTGAGGTCTGGCACTCCAACGTCTGTCGGAAGCACGGCAGGTGTTAAGCCAGTCAGAGGCAAGGCAGGACAAGCGCAACACCTACAAGCTCAGTGACTCGGGCGGATTGGAAATCCAGGAAAGCAGCTCAACCCCCTAAACTGAAACTGTTCTCAAGACGCTTCAACAGTGCTAGGGGCAAGATGGAGCAAGTGGCTGGAAACCTATGATCTCAGCGCCAGCACTGGGCTCCCGACGTGAAACCTGGGCCAGGGAGTCAGATTTTCAATCTTCACATGAAGGCCAAAAGTCGTCTCTGGAAACGACAAGAAAATCCTGACTTAGGTTCCGGGGCCTGGGGCCTAAGCCCTGACCTGTGCAGCTGGCGGTGGTTATGATGACGACGATGACGGCGACCAGTGCTATCAGGGGCTACCAGCACTTGTTGGAATGTTACAGTTCTGAGGCTTGCTATTGCTGTCCAAGGACTATTTGCGATTACTTGAGAACCCTCTGCCTGTGATCACTCGTGGGTTACCTTCAGGCCAATGAACCGACAAACAAGCTCCTGGTTGCGCTCGCTTGTGGTGCACATGCCAACACTACGGCACCTGGAACATTCTGTGTTCACTCATTACACTAGACGAGAAGCTGCTGCTCTCCATCTCCATGAATCTGCCTGCCCGACAATCACCGACATCCCAATTTACCAATGCCAAAACTCTATCAAAAATACAACGAGACCAGCCAATTCGAAGTCAAAGGAGCTCTGGTTCTCCAAATCCATGGTCCACTCGAGCTGGCCTTGGCTCTATAGCCCCAAGACTCCATAAACCATATGAACTCCTAGAGTCTAGTATGTCTCAAGGGTGCTTCTGTAGCCAGGGCGCACAAGCAAGCATTCTGAGTCAGCGAAGTGGGATCTCTGGTTTGTGCGCTCTGCACAAGATCCTTCCAGCCTGCGGCGTGGCGGACTCGGCGTTTGAGGATACAAAGATGTAAGGCCTTCAGAAAACTCAGGCCACCGAAGACTTTCTGTCTGAGGGTCTTCTTCCTGGTGACCCAAAAGGACACGCGCATGCGTCCATCGGATGCCTTCTGGGATATGCTGGATGGCGACTCGTGCCTCACATCAGCACCTGCTCCACCACCCTCTGCTCTCAGCCGTGCAGCTGGAAGTCTACCAGCACCGTGGAACCACGAGGGCTCAAAACATCTCTAGGGCTCGAGGCTGGCAATCTCTTGCGTTCAGGTTTAGCGGTATTGGTGAAGGGCTGACTCAACACTTCGGCCCGAAGCCTTTCTGTCGACGCCGCTGCCACAGGCGGTGCAGCAGCGGAAGAATGGGCGCAGGGCCCAGGAGCAGCCTCAACAGCTGCCGGAAGCATAGGCACATAGGTAAGGACTCCAACATCAACAGCCCACAATGGCGTGAAAATCCTACCTGTATCAAGTGGATGCACTCAACTCCAGGTGCGTGCTTTTCGACTATCATGCTCACGGCAGGCAAGCACGCTTTAGGGATTCACGCTTGAAGGCTCTCTGAAATTACGACAAGCCCTCTCTTCTAAGCCTGGGCCTAGACGGCCTAGACCTCATCCTTCGCCTGCCGAAATCGTGTTCAGCTCCGCCAGAAGAAGCAACATGACGAAACGACATGCTCAACGGATTCTGAGACCAGATCCACGCTAAAAGTGCTACAAGCAAGGAGAGCCAGAAGGGCACAATCCAAAGAAGCGCTACGTTGACGAGGATCCTCAACACGGCTCTTGCCGCCCAGCTAATGTTTGCTGGTGAGGTTTTCAGTGGAGCACGCCAGGCACCAAACACCCAAGCACTATATTCGGAGCCGAAGACGGCTTTTGTCTGGGATGTCGGCTGAGGGCTTTGTGGCTCTGTGGTTTCACGGTTTGGTTCAAGCATGAAGCCGATCTTCTTTGCCGCACGCACTGCGCGAAACGGTTTGGCCGGAATGGCAAGACGATGGGGCATTCGACGACAGAGCGAGCTATGGTGAGCAGACGCTTGGGTGAACCTTCCGGTCACGGAGACCCCGATCTATGATACATTTGCTCCAGACCGGTCGGCCCCAAGCCCAAAGCATCGCTCAGCATTCTGGGTCAGAAGGCTTCCGCTGCTGCGAATTTTCGAAGCAGATCCCTCTTGTACATCTGAGTTCAGGTCACCCATGCTCGCACGGCAGAGGAAGCCTTCCGTCGTAAGAACTTATAGAGCATTGGCATGCCCTTCGCGAAACAGTGTAGAAGCATCACTACGACGCCAAGAGAGTGCTCCAGTCTGCAGGCTGTGCAGTCTATTCTGTCCACGTCTCAAGTCGTCCCTGCCAGTGTCTAAAGTTGTTCTGATTTTCGGGATGACCTGGGATGTAGGCCTCTGAGCTACTTAAACTAACACTCAGTAGTTCAGTAGGGTTCATCCGACGCTGAGAATTCGAAGACCGTCCTCAGCGTGCGTCCTCGTCTGTAGAGGTCGACAGCTCCTCACATGAGCTGAAGTACACTCCGCGTGCGCCTCTCTGAAGAGTTGATTGGCATGACAGCCCCATGGCCCTCACCTTCAGTACCTACCTCCCCCAACATATACTTGTCGATCGAAACATCATCCCGCACATACAACCGCATGTATGACATGCTTGCGCTCAGTCAGTTTACTGACTCACCCAACCCGGCCACCCACACACCACTCTCTCTTGCATAATACCCCCCACGATATCCCACGCTCACATTTGCACACGCAAGCAACGCAAAGAAGGGAGCATCGGTTCAGAAAAACGACCCTGCGCTTTCAAACTCATGCTCGCGCACGGCCCTAGAGCCGGACTTGATGCGAGCCCAAGGGTAACGGCACGCGCCTGACGGTCACCTCCAAATGCCCACAGGACCCTGCACGGCCAGCCAAGCATCACTCTCATCTCCTCCTGCCATCCACCGTTACACTCGTTGGTTTCTCTCGCTCACACAAACAGAATTTGTTTGCTTGTTCTTTTTAATATCTTTCTTTCTCTCTCTCTCTACCCCTACCTCTCCCCTTCTCGTGAGAGTTCTCAATTTTGTGGCAGCGGGGGTAACCCCACCCCTTCTTGTCAAATGCCCGCGCGCCACCACCCCGCCCTCCCACCCCCCCCGCCCAGGACAAATGCCCCGCCGCCACCACTACCACCACCCTCCCACCCCACAATAGCAATACGAATGATAGTACTAAAAACAATAATAATGAATAAGAAGAATAACAATACTATTGATCATAGAAAAATACTAATTGTAGTTTTACACTTCTAATTATATTGATAATCTTCCCTGACAGGGGAGGGGGTGGGGCGGTGGTGGTACGTCCCAACCCCCCACAGGCTGAGACAGCGAAGACCGCGCGGAGAACTATCCTCTTCGCATCTCTTCTCTCGATGTTGACCATCCTTTTGCCAGACACATGGATGGCGTTAAATGGAAACTTATCTGTATAACGGTCTGTTCATTGTCGCCTGTTTGTCGTCTCATGCCTTGCATGCCCAGGGGCCGAATCCCCAATTTCCAGCTCGTCGGCACATATGGTACTACGAAGGGTCGAAGAACTCCGGCGGAAGAACGCCTTCCGGCTTCTTGGGGTCTGCGCTTCTGTTTCGCGGGTACAAAGTGGGCCTGGGTGTCAAGACCGCTTCACGTGAGCATGTCTTGGCAATCACATCCAAGCAGCGGGCTGTGCCCTTCTATACTCCCTGTTCCTAACAAGCTCAGTGAGGATGCGGTCAGTCAACCTGCGGGAGCTATAAGCTTATGTTCTAATCCCTCCTGGTAACTCTCTTTAGCGACTCCCTCGAAACAAACTATGCTAACCCAGAATCCGGGCAGTGGCTGCCTGGCTTCGGTGTGCCACGGTTGTCTCCTGTCGAAACCATGGCAAGACAGGAGGAGGAGGTCACTAGCTCCTCCTTGATGCATGCATCTTCCGTAACCGTAACCTATAAGACTCACCAGCCTTGCCGGAGCGAGGGCTTGAGCGGCTGAGAACCCCGGCCCTGCCCGTCCTGCAGGATTTCGTGAACGGCACTGCGTGTAAGCTCCTCCGGAGGCCAACAGCGGCATCACGAAGTAACGACTGCAATCAAGAGCCATGGCCGAGCACGGAGGAAAACTGAAGGCCAGAGCCCTCCCAAAGTCGGCTGCGGAGTCCTCTAAAGTGGCATCCTTGCTGTTCGGACCGCCGACCTGCACGGCTGTGGGAAGCAGAGAATTCCGGGCTTGAGGATAAAGATCTGCCCCCTTACACTGTCTCATAGTGAAGTTCATGCTCGTCTTTCACTCGCGACTGTACGCACCGAAGGCTTAAAGTGGCCAAAGCTAAGCAATACTTCGCAGAGCTCATCCTGTCAAGTACCCAATCAACACGAACTCCGTCCCAGGCGCCAAGCAAGGCCACAGCAGCCGTCTGTCTATGGCATGGCCGCAGTTCCGCGCGCAAGAGAGCCTTCACACTTAGTCTCAGATTCAGAGCCGAGCGGCCGAGCCTATACAATTGTCTCCATGCCGACGGCAGGACCGTCAGTAGGTGGGTACAACGTCAAGTTCTTGGGCTTGGTGGTCTTCACCAAACGAAACAATAGTGGCAAAAAGACTTGTGACTAACAATAATAATGCAATAATGATAGGTTAAGCTAAAAATCACAACAGCACCTGCAGGCAAGCCCGGCATTGGCCAATTGCTCTGAGTTTCGGGTCGACGCCCAATCGTCAAGCTTGCAGCCAAGGCGCATGGTGTTGCCTGTCAAGTAATTCTCCGGCATATCCTGCAACTTTCTCAGGCAATGAAGGCGCAGGTCGTGTGAGCTGTGCATTTGCCAGTGCTTGATGAATCCCAAGGGTCAAAATCTTTTGAGTACACCGGCGCCCCTATAACAGACAGCACAACCCAGAGCACGACAAAAACACAACAAATCATCAAATGTTGAATGTTCAACGGTCACGGCTCTAGGATTGCTCCCTTGTAGAATTGCTCTGTTCTAACGCAGCTTGACTTTCACATTGACGCGTAGGCATGCCAGAAGCTAGGTGAAGTGTGCTTCGAGTGTGTTGATTGCTCCGAGGCCTGGGTGTTGCAGGAAAGTGGGCGTTGTGAAACCGACCTCCGGCCCACTCTCGGGGCCCCGTTTCAGCAACCTCTCTGCTTTTTTAGTGCATGTCAATTGGGGATCTTTCCACCAAATTCACCGCATTGGTTGTGGAAGCCAAAGCCAAGGGCCAGTTGCTTTGCTGACTGGCGCATACAGATAGTGCTCACCCAGCAGATGCTACCCTGGCATGGCAGCAAGCATTCCTGAAGGCCTCGTCAAATGCCAAAAGAGGGTTCGGGAAGCCGGCTACGTAACACTTCCTGCGCAAACTACCCAGTCACCATAACACTCACACCGCGGGCTCTCAAAGTCCAAAGAACGCAGCTGGCCTCAGCTACATGCAAGCACCGGATTGTAGCAGAGCCTTGTTGGCCCTGGCAGTCCTCTCCCATTCGTATGTTCAGGCAGCGAAGCATGCACTGCGTCGTGCCCCCGAAGGCCAGCAGGAAGACACAAATCACCACGAGGGTGCTGGTGATCAGAATCCTGGGTTTTTGCAGGTCCACAAGCGAGTTCCGAGGCGACAGCCCAAGAAGTCTGCTTGCATCGCAGGAGTTGCATGTGCTTGCAATGTTCCATCGTCAAGCATCTCTTTGCTGCCCGGCCCTTCCGTCTCATCCACCCAATCCTTGGTTGCTTGAGCCGCACTGAAAACTGATGATTGCTTAGCGCTTTTGTGGTAGGCGACGAAGTACTGACTGAGGACACGACAGTCTGTGCTAATGTTAGGGAAATGGCGCCAACATTAACAAAGCAAAGCACTAACCCTGAAGCGCAGCCAAGATTCTCCCAGCTCCCAGCATAAGACCAAAGCAATTGCTCCTTTTCACAGATGGACTGACTACACAGGCAGGGCTTCGGGTTTCTCTGCGAGCATAACCTGCTTTGCAGACTAAAGGCAGCTGAAGCTGTGAGTATGGTGCCCGCTTGTACTCGGGAGAGGGGAGGGGAGGGGGGGAGGGGAGGGAGGAAGGGAGGGGAGAGGGGAGAGGGGAGAGGGGAGAGAGGGAGGGGAGGGGGAGGAGGGGGAGGGGGGAGATTTGATTGGAAGCGAGCCCAGCTTGCAAAGTTGTAAGAGCGTTCCCATCCTGGAACCGACGAGATGATGTCCTCCGTGCTACAAGGTGAGCTGGGCCCCGTAGTTGTACGCCCAACCGCCAAACTCTATGACGCTATGACTCCGAATCATCCGAATGCAAAGTGCTATATCCGAAATCTCTCCCTCCCGAAGGCACCTCGCAGACCCGCATGCCACATCATAAAGAGATGCTTCCAGGATAAGAGAAACCAGTCTGCCGGGGGGGCCTTCGAGGTGTGCACAGGTTAGGGCGGGATGGCTTTCGGGTTGTTCTTCTGTGCAGTCTTACATGGACGTGCTCGTGATCCACATGCTTCCATTCTAAATCAGGTGCACACACGGGCTCCGGCCTACCTACCAGCATGATCTTCGCAGGCCTCAACAATGGCACTGATCTGCACGACTGTTATTCCACCCTTGCCTTGTTGTGTCGTCCGATGGCCGTCTTCGTGGCATTAACGATGCCCCCACAAGGTAGTACAGCGGCAATGCGACCTCCAAGGACGAAGGATTCTAGCTCAACTCCTCAACGGCACTGGCTGTCCTAGATCGGATGCCGCCAGCGTGCAAAATGTCAGATTGAAGCTTGAGGATTTGGGGTCTGCCACCTCCTGCTAATTACCCTTTCCTGCCGAAAAAACCACGTTGACTGGATGCAAGTCCTACACCCCGGAACGGTAAAACATGACAAGGTGTATCCAGAATTCTGCCCGGCCGATGATGCAGAAGAGCATGACCCAAAGGCTGAACCTGGAATGGAGAATGCTTTGCAGGCAGAAGGGCTTAGTGGTACGTACTCGGGGTCAGGCAGGTAGGGTCAACGGATAGATATCCGCCACCCCCCCTCCCCAGCCGTACTTCTTTCCCTTATGCACCACCGGGATTCTAACCTCTAACCGAGCTCCCCATGCCACCGAGTTCTGAGGCCACTTCAGGCTTTAGCGGCAACGGGCAATCTTCTTGGGCTCTGGGGCCTTGGGGAGTAAGTGCTATGTATGGCCTCCAAGTCTTTGTAGATCTTTTCAGGGTGTTCAAGCCGTCTCGAAAACAGTCAATACACCAAACCGAATGTTTCGACTCATTGATGTGCATCGTAATTGAGCTACCTTTTCGAACCTTGCTACAAGCGAGTCTTGTCAATCCGATACCCGGATGGCCCTGTGGAGGCTTCATTGACCTCACGACCTTCATTCATGAACCCTCTGAGCGCACTGACACCCACGTTCAACCTGGAGTTGAGTTGCAGATCCTAACCCATAGCCTGCGCCCAAGGCCCCACACCCTATCGATCGTCTTTCCAAACCTCAAAAAAGCCAGGCAATGAAATCTAAGCAGCACCTCGCAACCCAGCTAAACCAGACCCAAAGCTCCTACAGCCCTACGAAGCCTAGACACCTTCCAACACCCCTCATCAGGTCATATCATGGCCAGGATGCTTCCAACTGGCGCGCTCCCCACAGACGGCCACTGCCCCGACACCCACGATCAGGAACCTGATGCTCCCTCTACTATAGAGCACAAGCAGTAAACCACATGTATGCAGATTCCTATTTTCAGACAACACACACACACACATGCGCATGCATGTCTCTGCGTACATACATACATACATACATACATACATATGTACATACAAACATGAGGACGGAGGGAGGGGATACAAGAGGCAGAAGGCATGCATACATAGTATTACATAATTGTACATATGCAGGCGCGTGCGAAACACCAGGGAGCACATATAAACACTCTCGAAGTCAGGCAGATAGACAGTAAATCAAACAGGACTGCAGGCAGGAATCTAACTCGACTGGGTAGATCCGCGCATGCATTCGTCCAACCCCCCCGCATCCTTTATGCACAGATCGACTTGGTCAGTTCAATTGCTTCATTGAAGTGAGCGCACTCATGTCTAATGCAAATGAAGCGGAGATTCTCCGGTTCAGCCCTCTGGAAATCTAGACAGCAAGCATGCCCAACACACAGCGCTGGGCCAGGGGCGTGAAGGTGTCTGCCAGAGTGGCCATGCCTGCCAGCAACAGGGTCCCGCTTCGGGCTTAGGGCAGCGTCGCACACGCACCCTATCAGAAGCGGATGCAGTAAGAAATGGCTTCCAAGTTTCGTGCGGTTAATTATCAGGCCTCAAGTAGAAACAGGTTGGAAAGGGGACGAATGTTCATGCTGCACCAATGTCTTTGTGGCGGGTGGGGAACTTTTCATTAAGTAGGTTTAAGTAGATCACACTGGTGGCAAGTTTGAGAGTTATTCTAACGCGAGCGATAAACACTTATGATTGCGTTCCTACTTCGTTCACACAACACCATGCGGTTTGTTTGGTTTCCGGCGAATACAGGAAACAAAGACAGTGAGTAGAACCCACATGTTGAAGCTTTCAGAATATGCTTTATGTCCGCTCAATTGGGCGGTCCAAAGGAGTGTATGAACCAATAGTTGAAAGTATAGGGCAAGGCTGGGATTTACATGGGATCATGTTTGTCCCAGTCGTCTCTTGATCGAACCTGAATGCGGTTGAACGAACAAATCATTCGGGTCTTCGCCGGATGGTCCGTCATGAAAAGTGGGATGCCTTGGTGAATCAACGGACAAGGCAGACCTGTGGGAAGGAAACAGGTACGGGTAACAGCAGAACGACAACTGACATTCGTGTTTAATGATGTTACAAAAAGCCATGATGAAACCATGGGCTAGTTAATTATTGAAATGCGTCTTCAGCTTCATTTTTGACAGGATGGACATGTTGCCACATTGCACATCATAAGCATACCAATACCAACGATGACACAAGCAAGGAATGAGATGCAAGCATTCCTATTCCTACCTAACCAGTAAGTATATTGTTTCTCTCTTCCCGCTTTGCAGCTTGGACCGTGTTTGCTTACAAACAGGAGTCTCGTGTGGCTCGGTGTATTCACCAGTGCTAAAGATGTGGCAAGGCAAGCGGATGCGAACTCGGGGCCTTTGACGAAGAATGTGGCCAAGAGGTTGCCCTCATCTGAAAGGTGCGGCTTCCTCAGCAGGTTTGTGGGACGAGCGATTACTGTAGCAGGATTTGGGCTCGCGGCTTCAGGGCCCATCTTCTCCTCCTACAAGGCCTGCATGCTGCAGCCCACAGCAGGAACCGGAGCATGCCCATGATTTCTGCATATGCTTTGCGGCCGAGTATCGCATAGATGCCCATGAGCATGGAACCGAAAAGTGTGGTGATGATCCCAGAGGAGTGTAGCTTCTCAGCCACAGCGTAGATCACGTAAGCCGATGCCATGATGTACAGGATCTCCATGAGTTGAGAGTGCTTTAAGCTGGCCTTAGGCAAGTTGCTGACAACGGAGACCTGTTTTACCACCATGTAGTTTGGTGGAGTGGGAGGATCAATGCACAGCTGATCTCCCTGTCAACACAAGATTTCCCTTGCCGTGGCTCGAATCGGAGCCCCAAAATCAGGACCATCGCTGCTGCCACGCCGAGGCCAATGGAGTAGGCCAACTTCTGAAAGATTCCCGCCGTCACTGCCTCGGTACCAGGTGCCTAAACTATGAAGACGAAACTGAGACAAAACAAACCTACAAGCTTTCACTACCCTCCGTCATATCTCAGCTCAGGGGCCAGCGAGATGTCTTTTTGGGAGACCGGGTTGCAGGGGTCGCCGAAAATTTTGTCACTGTTCAGAATTTCGAAGATAACGATGGCAACAGCATCGTTGATCATCGACCTGCTGGAATGCAATAGCACACGGGGTGTGCAGCCAAACAGCTCATGGGAAAGAGTTGAGGGGCGAAGGGGTAGCATGATCTACCACCGGTGCAACCAACAACGCAAGGGGTACTTGAACGACTACGACTGCCCGATGCCATTGTGTTGCTGTCAGTTTTCCGTAAAGCATCTATGACGTTTGGTCCAACCCCCAAAGAAGAACGATCCTGGAGCAGCTACTGATGATTCTGACTATGAATGAGCCGAGTGTAACATGCCACTTGAAGCATAGCCCTCGTGTAAGGCGCACATGATTTGAAGTTTCCACCCAATCTGGTGTTCGAGGCTTTAATTTTGATCCCAAGCCACACCCGGAGAAAGTTCAATTTTGCCGCTATTCTTTGCAAAAGCGTAAGACGTTTCAACGGCTTCCAAGTTGCTCGCCGAAAACCATGACGTTCAGCACCTCCACTATCAAGAAAGCTGCTAGACCATGGCACTGACACAATGTCCCGCATCACGGGTCAGAAAGTCGGCACCAATTCGCTGAACTGCCCAATCAGTCTCAGCCTTTACCGTCGACTGCCGAGAATGCGTAGCTCTTAACAGCATCCTCGACTAAACCCTGAACCGGAAAGTCCAGGTTCTAGGACCTTGTTGAGGTTTAGGGTCCTTCAAACCTCGCTGCATGAAACAACGCAGCCACAGGCACTGGTTCGACTTTCAAGCTCGCGTAGGTGGCCAAGGTCGCGACGGGGTCGGTGGCTGCAATCCTTTGGCGACGTCTCTTGCTTTCGGTCAGTATAGAACTTGCCTGGTTCGGTGTGTCTTCGATGTTCAATCCAACGCAGAGGAAACACCAAGAAGAACAACTCCTGAGAGCTTCTCGATGCTTCGAAGGCCCGAAAACCCTTCAGCCCCAAACCTGCACACAGTACCTCGGAACCGCATAGGATACGAACTGTAGAAGTCCCAGCTTCAACGAGCCGTAGGCAAAGGCAGTACGGCGGTGGTGTATAGAGTGATAGTCACTGGTGAGCAGAATGAGCTCACCCACTACCAGCATGGAGATCACGGAGCCTGTCCACGGCTCTGGAGTGAAACTATATGGAGAACGCGGCAAATATGGCAAACGGGTAGGAATTGAGCTTCGTAGGTCCTATACGAACCTGTACATGTACTCAGTATTGCGGCAACGAGGTCATATCGCGTGGCAGAGCCCAATCATCTTGAGTGCGGCTTGCTGCACTGTCCTCTTCGTGTGTCGACTACTCGGAATAATTAAGTGGGAAAGGCAATACTGCAAGAATTGATCTTCGCGACAGTCTGACCCAGACTTTACCGGTCCGTTATCTCGTGTAGCTTCCACTCACGTCGTCACTTCACTGTAGCTGTGTGCTGCTGCGAAAAGAAATCAACCAAACGTCGAGCACAAGTTGCTACGCTTCATCCCTTCATCAGTGTCCCGCGTGTATAGTCAGAACGACTCCGGTGAATTCTCTTCTTGCCGGGCCCATGTCGGCCAATTTTTGCTTCGTGACACCCAGCAAGTCTCTCGTCCAGCAGCATGAAAGGAGATGTTCTGTTCCACAAAAACCGAAGCCACGAAGGGAGGGGTGCAGCTGCTGAGCTTTCAGGTGCCTCGGGTGCGACTCGGGTTTTTGAGAATTCGTTTCTGGTTCAAGTGCCGAGACATGATGCAAAACATATGTAACTGCCTGTCTACCTGTGTCGCTCTACAGTTGACTTGCTCGAATGTTCCAGAAGCTTCACAGGTTGATGGGCCCTATGGTGCCTAAGATGGCGAAGACGAGGATGTAGCCCAGTTGTGATGCGAAATCTTTCCATCGCAGGGTCCAGCCAGACTCGAAGATAATGATCCTTGGAGGCGCTTCGGCCGATAAACTCGAAGTTAGGAGACGGCCCCTGCAGAAACAAGCGCGCAAACACAAATCATCCACAAAAGCAAACTTCAACATGGGTCTTGCTTGCAAACTTCGGACCAGCTCCGATTGCGCAAACCTAACTCGTCGACGAAACCGGCTAGCACGCTAGGTCTAACGCCGTGGGGTGCATGTCAGGACTCGGCAGGAAGGCGAACTTCACAGCTGGAGGTCCAATCACCGGAATCACTGCCCTTGAGGAAAGCGGCTTTGGGCTGCTAAAGACCCCTTCTGTTACGGAGTGAAGCTTCCTGCAAGTGTCTGTTTGCGCACTATCTTCTGGTTGTGACATGCTGAAACTTAAAATCTTGAAGCCGATTTCCTTCATGTCTACTATTATTCGGGGCAAACTACCAACAACCGAGAAGCGACCTCCGAGCCTTTGATGCTCAGAATGAACAGTGTGCCCAACAGAAGGTCGGATCCGAAAGCTTTAAAACATGGCAGGACAGAGACTACTTACGTGTGCCCATCCCTCCCACAAGAACCCCTACCCTGACTGGCAATTTTCCGATGCCTCTTTGTTCTCCGGAATCCCGAGCTACTTGAGGTTGAGCACATATATCTTTTGGACATGGGGGGCATAAGTGGGGCTGCGTATAGATATTCTCAAAGCCGGATACCCGTCAGTGACTTAAAGCTTGAAGTGCAAAACCTTCCCAACGGACATGTCTGCTCCTAAATCGGCTCCTAGCTCGCACTCACTCGTGTTCACAAACAAGACATGACATGTTCCTGTACTTCGGTCGATAAAAGGTGCTACTCTATGCCCCATGCCGTGCCATGATGTGGCAGTTCTTTGTTGAGGTGGCTTTGAAACCGAAAAGGTGATTATGAAGAGTTTCAGCAACGGTGGGGCCATCCCTGCACTCTTCAACTTCCGTTGTCATTGTCACCTGGAAAGACCCCAAGCCCGCCATTCTCGGCCCGCGGCCCAGTTCCAAAGCCGGCTTCCCCGAAGTGGCACATGAAGATGGCACCGAGGCCCAGGCCTGGTTTGACTTCTTGGATCTCGGGTTTTACGCCTTCGAAGGACACTGTGGGCTCTGAAAGTTTTGGGGCTGTCGAGGGTTTCGAGGGCCTTGTGCCTGCGGAGTGTGCTGGGTCCGGACTGCTGCTAGGCCTGTCGGTTACTTTTGCCAAGACTCGCGATTTGAACGTCTGGTGCACACAGTCTGGGGGGGCACCGGGAGTTTGTTCACCAAGAGAACACATTTCCATTGCTAACGACGGCCCACGGCCACACAGCAAGGAGTACAAACAACATGGTAGCAACATAATGAAGACGGATGCTGTTGTTAGTACCATTCCAACCCCCAATCTCTGTCTCTTTTGTCCTGTACTACACTATATGTTGGCTTCCCGATGGTTCTGGCAGCCTGATGACTACCACTACGACTACTTGAGAGATTACAATCTGCACGATTAGCCATTCCGGACGCTACTATTACCATCGTTGTTGCTACTGCTATTGCAAGTAGAACTAGTGCTATCTAATCATTGGCCCAATTGCCTCAAGTCGTAGTTTTATCGACAATTCCGGTCACTGTTTCTGCTTGGATTACGTCACGACTTGATGCTTATCGCGATCCTACCGCCATAATCAATAGCACCAGCTGAAGGGCGTCAAACTGGCACCCCGACTAATCAGGACTCGGGGGAGGGGTAAAGTTGTGCACGCTCGGCTACTCTACGAACAAATTACGAACCTTCTGTCGCCGTCCAAGAAACCAACAAGAATCACGACTGCTGACTCTGGGAGGAAGGTGATGTTGAAGGACTCCATGGATGAGGACAGCATCAGACAGAACCTCAAACAATTGCACGTGCGCTTCCGAAGCACAAGTTTCTGGGGTCTCAGCTCCTATCTCGAAGAAGCATCATAAAACCCAGAAGTGTGCTGTGCGTCCTGCTCGTAGTGACATTCGGCGTTTTGAAAACTCACACTCGGCCGAAGCCTTTGGGCTCTCACAGCTCGGACATGCCAGGCGAGGTTCGTAGGTCGAGTCGGCGTGAAACCAGGTATGCTTGCTTTGTCGAAGCCTTTAGGGTTTTGGATTTGCGACTGCAACCAGGAACACGAAGGCCACCGAGATGGGAAGCATGGCCTGGACGGCCACATTGCCCTCATGCTCGGCTACGTTCCTCGGCTCTCACGATCCGAGTAAAAAGGGGGGGACATGTTTGCATATGCAAGCTGCATGCGGTAGTGCCGACTCATGTGGCAAGGCAGCGGTGAGGTAACGATCTCTGTGCGTGCATTGCAAAAAGCAAAAACCTAGCCATGAACATCTCCTCCCCGAACATTGACAGGACCCCCATACTAACAGTCGCTTCTGGGCCTTCTGGGTAAGAACGACTGACTTGCACCGCCAGGCAGATGTTTCTGCTGTGATGAAACGTTAGCGACACGTGTTGCTTCTTGAAAAATATCTGGTAGTCTGCTATTCCGAAGCCTTGCGAAGGTGACAAGATGATCACTGTCCGTATCCCCAAACCCTTACGACAGAGATACCTGACAGACCTTGCGCCGAGGCTCGTAGCACTCGTGCTGTTGCACAGGGCAGGCACGGCCTCCCGGTTCTCTTTCGCAGGAGAAAGAGCATCGAGGCAAACTCTGTGGGGCTCTTATTATTTAGGCTTATAGCGCAATATAACCCAAACGCCCTGTCCCATTTAGCAAGGCTCCTACACTAACCTGGTAGTGTCAAACTGTTCTTAGTCTTCGTTTCGGCAGTTCCGGCAGGTTCCATGACTCCGACTCCCATCCAAAAAGCCCAAGCCAAAGCCGCGAGCATCCAGAACTTGGAACCCGAAGGCCCCATAAAACTCCGAAGCTGCTTAAGCCCTAGATCCCAAAGCCAGCCCTTAGTTCCACGAAATACCTCACCCCAGAAACTACACCGCTAGACCCACATGTATCTTTCTGATCTTGTGAAGACCAAAAAAAGTCTGAAGCTCCTGACCGTACATCCACAACTTCGAAAGCTGCATGTTTAACATGGTGAAGCATAAAAACCGCAAAGCGACTTCGAAACCTGCGCTGAGGCTTGGCCGAAAAGTAGAGCTGAGGCCAGGAGCCAACACCTGTCCGTAGGTCTAGGGCTCATGGACACACTAATCCGGGTTGAGTGGCCAAAGCTCTCTGCGTTTTTATCTTTTGAAAGACCTGCGCCACATCTCATACCTGCTGGCTCCTGTGGCCAGAGCGAGCTTAAGGGTAGACATGTCACTTGAGAGTTGCAGTGTCTTTCTCGCTTTTGGCAAGTGCTGCCACAGTCACCAGAATGTCGAGCTGCGTCTGGCAGGTGCCGCCATGGTATAGGGGGCTGTGACAAGACTTTGCCGATTTCGTTGTAACTCCTTACCAGACTACTTGCTTAGGGGCTGTGCATCGGTTCAAAGGTATCGGGGAGGGGGGTGGCAACTGACCGTTTGCTTGCACCGGCTTCGAATTCGGGCTTCCTGGGTTCAGGGGACGAGTCGGGACTCCCTGATGGATCTGGCCCTGTATACGCTCTTGGACTGCTCGGGCCCAAATGGCTCCGGCAAGGATAGGGCTAGGTTCTCTCTCTCCCTGCCTCTCAGGGCTATAGGGTTCTTATGGGGTACTCATAGACCTGCGATGGAAGACGCTGCTGCGAGTGGCGGGGGAACGTTCGCACATCCTGGGAGTCCTCCTATATTCGAAGAAAATCCGGTTAGATCTGCGCCACTTTTGAAAGCGCCCGAACTGCCAGTGAGGACCTGCTGCTGCGTCCATACAACAGTTGTGCGCAAACTCCAATCTCCGGTCCTAAATATTCCTGACCGTATAGCCAAGGGACTCCTTGAGGCGCGGATGCAGCTTTCGCACGCATTTCACGGCCTGGCCCTCTGCATCATCTATCAACTGGGCCTGGGCTTGCACAACGCCTGGAGATCTCAGCATGTGCCGCAAGGGCCGCCTTCCAAAGCCCTCCAAGGGGCAGCTGGCGACTTGAGGAAACTGGGGGCAAAGTCGGCCTGGAGCGCCAAGTGAAGCCTCCGCTGTTTGGATGGCTGGTGGAAATGAGAATGTATGTCTTTTTTGTTGCGTGCTCTGTCACGGCCTGTAGGGCTTGTGGCCAGGGTTCACTGCACATGTAGACTGTTGCGTTCTGCTCTGACCTCGAGATGCCAGACGCTCAGCTTTAGGACTTCCGCACTGCTGCTTTGAAGTCAAAGCTCTCATTTGCGATGATGCCCGGTCTGTCACACCAAAGGCAGGATTATCATCGTGAAGTAGAATAGAGTGTTCGGGGACATGGGGTTCGACGCACGAGACTGGTCAGGTATCTCTTGAAAGGCGCTCAAATGAACTATTCCGTTGAACGGACAGAAGTCCCGGCGACCCAGGCCGGAACCTCATCAACTTCATCCCCACAGTGACCGACATCATGATGGCACCGACGACGTGACTCCCTAACTCCTTCCAAATAAGGCTCTACTCTATGACCTGCATGGTCATAAGACAGCTATCGACAACTGCGTCTGCATGGCTTTGTAACTTCCCCGGGTTTCGAAAGCCTCAGGCCTGGCAGTGGCTCGCATCATGCAGTCAGAGGCGTTGAGCTGAGCCAAGGCCTGGACCAGAAGCCCGCTGGCGTACCACCGAACACAGTCACACGCGTAAGAATGAATGAATGCGTGCATTCATTCATTACATGCTTGATTATTTGCAAGCATATACATGTATGTTTAGGTGTGTGTGTGTGTGGGTGGGTGTATGTATATACTGTTTATTTTACCGCTCAACGCCGATTGTCTCTAAGCATCTGTCTGTCCATCTATCTATCTATTTATCTATCCATCTACCCATATATCTCGGTGTACATGCCACCTACATACTTGCGCGCCATCTACCTGCCTCGCTTCCTACCCACCTACCGCCCGACCCCTCTAGCTAGCCAGCGAGCTAGCCATGTACCTACCTACCCGACTATCCACCCATCTACCTTTCTAATTACCTATCTACCTGTCTACCTGCTACCTGTCTATCTATCTATCTATCTATCTATCCATTTATCTATCTGTCTGTCTACCTACCTACCTACCTACCTACCTACCTACCTACCTACCTATCTATCTCTCTCTCTCTCTCTCTCTCTCTCCCTCCGTCTCCCTGTCTATCTATCGATCTATTGACCTACCTATCTATCTATTTTATTTATGTATGTGATTTTTCCTGCAGGCACTGCAGGGATGTGTGGCACTGAGGTGCGGGAGCATTTGGCAAGATGGATGCTGTTTCACACTTGAGAGTGCCCCATCCACCAGGGCAGCCCAGTTGGCATGCCGACTTCCCAGACTTCCGACATCGGTGCTTCGCCGGAATGTTGCTCGTGGAGATATCTTGCAAGCTATGCAGCATCCCGTCAGAGGATTATTGGAGAAGGAACTTGACTCGATGAAGCCATTCGGTCTGCAGCACAGGTCTCACCCTTGGCGAGTCCGTCATTTATCCAGCGCAGAAAACGGATCCGCTGTGATCTTGAGGCATCAAAGGGTCTTTTTAAGAAGCCCATGCCATATCAGTACTGTCTTCGTTCGGCGTATTTCTTCGCACTTGTGAACCTGCGTGTACGGATGGGGGGGCTCAGAAACCATCGGTACATGTCATGTTCAGCAGAGGACATGCAGACTCGGATGATCTGGGCCACTTGAGGGTTTGCATCTTGATGACTTGATGCGACTGCTTCTTGCCGATGCAATTCCACGATCAAACGCTGCAGACATTGACGGCCCGCTGCCCTTCCAAATCTTCAGCTCCAGACTCGAAGACCTCAAGCGAACACTCTGCCCTTGAACGGCAAGCCTCAGAGTAGGCGTAGGCACGTGCCGAAATAAACACAAGCCATCCGGAAATTTGAAACTAGAAGAACTGCACGGCACGGAAAAGCCTTCCTCTGCCGGCTTTGATCCACTTTCTACGGGAGAATCTTTCATCGATGAGACCATCTTTTGGTGTACCCTGCCAGCAAGCAACATTCAAGTGAGAGGGTACCGAACAGGCAGGCCATTCTTTCAAGCGCTCGGCAATTCTCTATTGATTTATGTTGGGGGATGATTATCGCCAGATGACGGAACCTGTGGCCTTGTCATGATTGGTATCACGGGCGTGCAAATGAGACATGCAGGGAGATGGACGTAGAGATCTCTGTCTGTCTAAGTCTACCTATCTCTCTTTGTTGATTGTACATATAGTTACACACGCACAAAGCTTTCTTGAGTGGCCCGCGCACGAGGCAAGCGTGGCAGGTGCCCGACACCGATCAGCAATCGTAGCTGCCGTGCTCTCTGCGCTTGCAGTGGCTTGGATGATTCTTCAGTCACTCGGAGTCTTCCAGAGATGGGAGTCATGCTGCCCCAACGCTTGGGCTGCCAGCTTCGCACGATGGTGATCGGAGGGAGCGCTGCAGGAAGATCTATGCACTTTCTGTTTCCATGTTGTTTAAGCAATGTGCAGCAGTGATATACAGTAACCTAGGACATTCGACTCGCCGAAACAGATGCAACAAATGGCTTTAGCCACGTGCAATGTGACGACATTCCGTGTCATTTCCCTGTATTCTACAAAAGTAAGCTTGAGGTTCTTTCTCGTGAGAGCGCTCTGCGACGATGCTTGATCGAAGGCAGCTTGAGCAACACTTGGTGTCACCAGCTCAGAATATGGCCAAGGTGAAGGTCTAGACTCTCAAGGTTTGGGCAGGCTTTCGCATGTCGGCATGTCAGGGGCGTCTGTTGCAGATGGTCATAAGGATTGACTGCAACATTCGGACAGTCTTGAATACCGCGAAATCTTTCTGCTTTGTCGACACGAAAGTTGTCAGGTGGTCTCGTCACTGTAGACCCTGTCAACTTACACAAGCTTGACAATACTTGTGCCAGTCATGTTCCTTCACCATGCCTTTTGCTGTGGCAGTCCAGGGATCATCCTCGGATTGCGTGGCACAGCGCCCACGGCCATGTTCATCGTGCATCCTGACAGCATATCATTCACTCAGATGTTCCTGTGATGGTTGCCACCCGTCACGAGCCAGCTGCGCCGACCGAAACTTCGCGTGGAAACATGGGAACTGAAACC